CCCCTTCCCCCCTGGTGCTCCCATTCCTGACCCCCTGCCCCCCATCTGCCCCCTCTGCCCTCTTCTCTTTTCTCACCCCCTCCGGGGCATCGGAACAACAGTGCCGCACAGTCCGACCGCCTGGATGTGGTGTTGGCCCGCAATGTGGAGATTGTGTGCACGCTAGATGTGCTGATCAGCTCGGCCACGGGGAACATCCGCGGGTTCCGGAGCCGACTGAATCGCGCTCGCCAGGCGGCCATCAGCTCCATCCCAAAGCCCGCCTTCCCGGTGGAGATGTCTCGTCGTGGCTCGCTGACCGGGTCTCAAGCGGACCTCCCTTCATCCCAGGCCCGCAGTCAAACCTCCCCCGAGCGCATCCCCGTCGCCGGTGCCGGGCCACCACCGCTTGGAGTGGTGGCGGCTCCGAGCAACGCCCCGCCAAAGAAGGGCCTGCCTGTGCCACCAGCTGGCCTTACAACGACGGCGGCATCGCAGTCGCCCAATCGCCTGCCCATGTACAAGCTCCATGCGGCCCGCTTGGCGACTCTCTCATCGGCGGCGATCGGCTCGACTTCCTCCATTGCCAGCTTGCCGTCGATTGCCCATCCACACCCCAGCCGGCGCTTCGACGTGGGCTTCGCATCCTCCAAGGGCCCACGTCGTGAGATGCAGGTGTGTCATGTCGAGCTTTTCCCCGCGATCACACCCTGCCCTCATCGGGGTGTCCATCCGCGCTGCTTACCCATTCTTTCTTTCTCTCTCTCTCTCTCTCTCTCTCTCCCCCCCCCCCACCCGTCTCCAGGATGTTCTTGTGGTTCGCGGGGGTTTCGGCGGCAAGCCGAATCAGGACTTCTTCGGCATCTTTGACGGCCACGGTGGTCGGTACGCCCTATTCGGATGTTGGCCTGCCCTCTGCCGTGCGGTCCCCTTTCGCGCACCTGACCAGCCCATGTGCGGCCCCTCCCCTTCCCCCCCCCCCCCCTGTACCCCGTTCTTCAGTTCCGTGGCCACCTTTGCCGCGGATCGCCTGGTGAATTTGGTTGCCTCGCAGCTGCATTCCTTCAGCAGCAACACGCAGCCAATGAGCGAGCGCTTCCCGCCGGACGTCATTCTCCGGCGTGCCATCCACCAGTGTCAATCTGAATTGGAGTCCTGGGCCACGATTGTACGCCACGGTTTCCCGCTTGCGCCTTATGCTTCCCATCTGACGCCCCCTCTCCTCCTTCTTCTGTTTCTGCTCTTCCCCTTCCCTCGCTCCTTGTCCGTTTCCTTTGCCCCTCGGTGAATGTCCCCCGCCCCCGCCCCTCCCCCCTCCCCCTCCTAGACCGGCACCACGGCCACTCTGGTGTTGATCACCGAGGGCCGGATGGATATCGCGGTGGTTGGAGACTCCAAGGCTCTGGTGGTTCAGGGCCGCTGCCTGAAGTGTGCCTATCGACTGAATAAGAGCATCTACGCCCGGCCCGGCTTCTTGGCAGAGTCCCTCTCGGCCAGCCTCGGCCTTGGCCAGGGGGCCTCGCTTTATGGGAGTGCCACGAGCCTGGCCATCTCGCCGTCGCCAACCGGCGGAGCGGGGGCCGATGCATCGAGTGCGGGGTCGGCGACCAGCGACTCGCTGGCCGATGTCCGGCGCATGATGCCCCCGGCGCTGGATCACCTATCGCTCTTCCTGGCTTCATCGACCTGTCCCTGCCTGACACTCGGGTCCTGCTCTGGGTGTGCCAATTGTCGGAGCCCGGTGCATGACCTGAGCCGGCTCCCCACGTCGCTGGAGATCCCCGGGTCCCCGAGTGCCCTGAACAACATGGCCGGCACGGGGAACTTCTCGTCGGCCGAGGGATCGCCGGCGCTGGGCGGCTCGCCGGTGACCATCCCCTGTAGGTCGCTTCTAAATGACCATGACCTGGCCGGCAGCTTTGATGGGACGGTCCTGACGGAGGCCAGTTCGCCACTGGGCAATGGCCCCGGTGATCCGACGGTGCTACACTTGCCGGCACAGCTGGTGTCGCAGTCGGTGGTGGCCGAGAGCCTGGCCGGGCTGCCTCCACCGCCGCGGGTCCCGGTCCCAGAGCATGTGGCCGGGGAAACCGACAACTGGAAGCCCCGTCTGCTGGCCGTGGATACGGCCCTGCCCGGGCCGCTGAATACCGGCGTTTTGCCCTCGGTCTTCTCGCCGTCGGCTTTGCGGGCCCCGCCGCCGATCTTGCCACCGGGCATTTCCTCGGCCCTGATGAACCCCAATCCGGCGCCTGCCATGGAGCCGGGCTCCCACAGTCGTGCGCGGCCGCATTCCCTGCACGAGCGTCTGGCATTGTTGGAGCTGCCCTTCTTGTCGAACTGCGATCTTATCTTCCAAACGCGTGATCACACGCCGGAAGTCCCGGGCGAGGCAGAGCGCATCGCGAGTCTCGGTGGTGCGTCGACACCGACCTTCGCCTGCATCATGTCGTGTGTGTCTTTCTTCTTCCTTTTCTTGTGCCTCAGCTCACGCCCCTCTCGCCATGCCCCTCGTTGTC